TCTAGGGATCTTCTTGATGATGAATTTTTCGGTCATCTCTTAACTTCCTAAGCCGGCAATCTCATTTGTGATGAGGGCAAGCCTAGAGTACATTTCGACGACTCTTTCACCATCCTTCATTTTGAACTTGTCAAGTTGAGTTTGGAGCACATCCAACTTCGATTGCTTGATGGACTCGGTACCTTCGTGCATATTAACCAAAGTATCCCAAATTTCCTTTGCATTCTCAAGGCGGCTGGTTTTGTTGAATTCTTCGGGGCACATTCCATTGAAGAGAATATCACAAGCTTGAGCATTGTATTGCAACATCTTCAATTCATCCATGGTGGCTTGAAAATCCAGTTCTCTACCATCTTCAAAGTATTCACCTAGCAAGCCAATACGAACAACAACCCAAACGGCGGGGTTATGACCAAGAATATGCATTTTCATCTATGCTTATAACTAGCAAAATTAGTACCATCAAAGTAAGGACCTCTACGGTGGTAATTTCCATCGCTAGACGCCATAATCTCCTAGGTTATGAAAAGAAGGCTATGATCACCAAAGCTATGGAAATCAAGGCTAATGGAGATCAAAGCTCTGATGCCACTTGTAGGATTGAAAGTAGGTCCAGAGAGGGGTGTAGACTACTTGACCAAATTAAAAAACTATCCTTTTCCCAATTTTAGTTGTGAGCAAATTTTATCTATTTGCACAAGTCAAGCAATCAACCTACACATGCAATTCTAAGAGTATAGCAGCGGAATGTAACACATTGCATATGAAGGTAAATGGAAGGGTTTGGAGAAGGCAAATACAATGTAGGCACGTATATTTTTGGCATGGTTCCGATAGGTGGTGCTATCGTACGTCCACGTTGATCGAGACTTAAACCCACGAAGCATAACGGTTGCCTGAGTCCACAGAGGGCTCCACCCACGAAGGGTCCACGAAGAATCAACCTTGTCTATCCCACCATGGACATCGCCCATGAAGGACTTGGTCACTCTGGTAGATCTTCACGAAGTAGGTGATCTCTTTGACCTTACAAACTTCTTGGTTCAACTCCAGAACTTGACGGAGGCTCCCAAGCGACACCTAACCAATCTAGGAGACACCACTCTCCAGAAGGTAATAGATGGTGTGTTGATGATGAACTCCTTGCTCTTGTGCTTCAAATGATAGTCTCCCCAACACTCAACTCTCTCACACAGATTTGGCTATGATGGAAAGATGATTTGAGTGGAAAGCAACTTGGGAAGGCTAGAAATCAATATTCTTGTGGTAGGATAGGTATATCTTGATCTCAACACATGAGTAGGTGGTTCTCTCTCAGAAAATGTGTGGTGGAAGTGTAGGCACGTTCTGATGGCTCTCTCACAAATGGAGATGGCGGTGGAGTGGTATATATAGCCTCCACCCAAAATCCAACCGTTACACACATTTGACCAAACTTGATGAGACCGAATAGATGAACTCGGTCTGACCGATTAGTTCAAAATGTGAATGTTAGGAATCTCGGTGGGACCGACTGGAATAACTCGGTGTGACCGGTGCTAGGGCTTAGGGAAAACATCAACTCGGTGGCGCCGATTGCATCAACTTGGAGAGACCGAAGTGAAGCAATAAGCAACAAATTGAATGTCAAGCCAACTCAGTGATACTGATTGCAATTTTGGTGAGACCGAAATAAATGCAACAAGTCACAGGGACTCAGCAAGGCCATCTCAGTGAGACCGAGATCCGTATCGGTGTGATCGAACTGTTAGGGTTTATGGCTGTGGCTATGTCATATGAACTCGGTGGCGCCGGATAGAAAGTATCAGTGGGGCCGAGTTTGACTTTAGGATTTGGACATATTTGGAATGAGAAAGTGGTTGAGGGCTTTGGAGCAATATCAGTAAGCATTTTGAGCAAGCAAGTCATTAAGCAACACCTCATCCCCTTCTAATAGTATTGGCTTTCCTATGGACTCAATGTGATCTTGGACCACTAAAACAAAGATGAAGTGTCTTGAGCTTTTGTCAATATGTGTCCTTAGCATTTTTGGGGGTCCACATTCCTAGAGCATGCCATGCCATTCATTGAACTCTCTGAAATATTTAACTTGAAAGAATATTAGTTCAATGAGCTATATGTTGTTATGAATTACCAAAACCACATGGCGATTAGTTGCACTTTCAGAATGTAACTTCAAACTCTCTTTCTAATGAAATGAAACACAAAGGTCCTTTGCGTTTCTCGAAAAAATATTGATTTCTTCACCTATTTTGGGCTAGCGACTTTATTATGTATTCCTACTGATTTTCATTGTAACTCTATGTCCTTTTCCTTCATAGGGATTACATCATATGCCAAGTTGTAAGCTTTGCTGTTTTCGACAATTGGGCGCGGAGACTTGTGCCAGTACATCAAAGTCACAAGATATGTGCACATACAACAATATTGTGTGTTTTTATACCTTGGTATAACTAGTGCAATTTTCTGGTAACTTGGTAAGTTTTGGGTCGGCAAACATGGCAACTTCAGTCGACATGGCGGTATATGGTAAAAGGCAAATTTTGGCAAGTGTTGTGCATGCAAACTTGGAAATTTAATCATATATCCGACAACAACTTAGAAAAAGTACTATGTAGTATATCCACCCCTATATTTTTTCTACTTTTATTATGACATGTTGTAATTCTACGTCGCAGAATATGGTAAATTATGCATTGGGTCTTGAGATGTCTTTCTTCTATTGCAATGGGAAACTGGGCTCACATTTTTCTATCGAATAGATTTGTTTTGTAGGATGGTAATTTATCGCACCATCTAGATGGTACCATATGTTCATAACACTTGGTAACTTCTCGTACATTACTGATGTGGCATCATCTTTTCATACTCCTGATTTTGGTTTCTAGATGGGGTGGGGGAGGGAAGAACTAGCCGATATGTTCTTGCATCTTATCTCAGGAAGGTATGGAAGTGAGCATGAAAAGACAGGGTGACTTAAGGGAGAGTTTAGGACATGTAGACGTGGAAAATCTATCATCTACCTAGACGGAGTGGATTTCTCAAATCTTATGGCGCCACCGAAACCATGACTTGCCCTAGTGCTCGAATCATGTAGGGAAGGGGGGTGCACGCTCATGCTGGGTGCGTCACACGATTCAAGCCGACATAGTATTGGTGCACGCATGATACGTCATGCTACCAAGATAGGGAGCGTACGGTCACACTGTAGTACATTTGACAAGTTACTATTGAGCATCCAGAGTTTGTATACAATTACGTTAAGTGAACTAGGAGTGCTTTCTCTTTGGGTAAATCTTTATAATTGAGCGGCTGATCCATCCTTATGTTGGTCGCTGCCCTCGCCTCCCCACCAATACCACACACGCCTTATCTCCTATTTTGGAAATTTCTTGCCCTTTTCCTATCTCCGTCGAATAAACTTCTCTCTCTTTCTCTCTCTCTCTCTCTCTCTCTCTCTCTCTCTCTCTTGGTGCGGCTGGTGACTTTTACCGGCGGCCAACCCTCGACCCACTCTCTCCCGGAGTGTCCTTTATTCACTGCTTCCTATGCTACGCCATGTCCCCTGCCCGCATGGCTGCTGCAACAGTTTGTGGTCGAATCATCGCCTTCTTCACGCCCACACTTGTCGAGAATCAGGTTCCTCTCGTCCCCACCCACCCCCTCACTCTCTCTCTCTCTCTCTCTCTCTGTGTGTGTGTGTGTGTGTGTGTGTGCGTGTGTGGGTGTCTCGCGCTCACACGTGTGTTGCCAGCGCCAACCGCCACTTTCCTTGTCCATTGCAAAGCAACCTTGGCTGCTGTATGGCCTGAGGGTGCTCTTGCTAGGCCGACCAGCCACACCGTCGGCAGGTGGTCATGTGATGATGCGGGTTGCACTATTGTGTGTTGTGAGCGCTGATATGGTGTGCTTCGAGTGGTGGGCTGGGCTACAAGCGGCGGCTGGCCGTTATACGAGGGTGACTGTGGATGTTGTGATTAACGACAATGATGTTGCAACCTTGTGGTGGCTGTTGCGAGCGGGGGGAGACGACCGATGACTGTTCTGGGGGTAAGGACGGTGTTGCTATGATGACTTGCCATGTATGCTATGATAACGGACGGCTGCCATGGGCGAGGGACAGCGATGCTGTGAAGGCGAGCGGTGGATCGTGCGATGATAGGAGGGGTCCGTGGAGGGTTGTGATGATGCGACCGCGGGCAGTGGATGCTGCAAGCGGGGCGGGGGATGATGCAAGAGCCCCGGTGATGCTACGACGGTGGGCGATGGGAGCGACAATGGCAAAGCCACCTTGGCTGGGAGCCGCAGAACTCTCGTTGCGAGGTACACCGTTGCTGCGCTTTTCCCCTGCGTATGCACGTGCGTTTTGCTGAGAGGGAAGTTCGTGCAAGTCTATCGATCACGCCGCGGGCGACGATGCCCTTTCCACCGCTCCATGCCAGCCCACGGCGCGCGCCCCATCAGTACACCAACGTCAGGCAGTTCCGTTTCCCAGCTACACGCGCAATATGTCATCGCAGGCCAAAGGCTTCGAAGTACGTACGTCGCTCCAAACTCATTCATGACCACTTTGCTAACCGACGCACATACGTACGTACATGTGGCTGGAGAGTGAGAGATAGAGATAGATAGATAGAGAGGGTATGACTTTTGCATGAGCGTGAGAGACCATATGACCCGTGAACATGACATGTTTGTGATGTTATACGGAGCCACAATTTGCAACCCAAAATATTGTGTACTGCATTCTACATCACAACGATGCTGAGGTCGGAAACCCTTCTGGAAAAAATGCAGTTTTTCATCGGATCATCAATTACGAGTGGGCAAAGTAAGGAAACCAAATTAAGCAACGATAACTTCAACAGCAAAGAGTACACGAACTACTAGAGGACAAGCCTACATTAGGTAAGCAGTACACACACAAACCATGGCCGGATCGACACGGCAAATTATTACAGTACGCAGGACGCAGAAGCTAACGCGCGCCGCCCACGCGGCTAGCCAGATTGGACGGGCTTGTCCTGCGATTCTTCTGCTGCTGGCGTTGGCTCCGGCTCCCCCGTGCCCTCCCCCGGCACCGTCACGCCGTTGGACGAGCTCTCCTCGTCGGCACAGGCTGCTACGTTGCTGCTACCTGCGCCGTACGCACCTTGCCCGTACCCGTACCCGTACCCGTAGTATTGCTGGGCCACGACACTTTCTCCGCCGAACACCTGGCACTGCCCGCCGGCGTTGGCCCGCACGGACGTTATCCAGACGGCGTACCCCTGCACCGGAGCCCGGGGCGCGTAGACGCCCCGCTGCATCTGAACCTGCACCGGAGCCGGGGGAGCGTACATGGGCCGCTGCACCTGATTCTGAACCTGCATCGGAGCTGGGGACGCGTACACTGGCCGCTGCATCTGATTCTGAACCTGCACTCGAGCCGTAGGCGCGTACATCGGTTGCTGCATCTGAGCCTGGAGCGGCATGGCATGGAGCACGGGCGGGGCCGCGCGGGGAGGCGCACTCGTCACGGCGCGCCTGTCGCCTGCAGCGGCAGCACCTGTCGCCGCCTCAGGGTCACGCATGCGGTGCAGGAAGACGCTGAGGGGCACGACGTAGTCGTCGAAACCGAGGCGGTTTAGGGCCCACACGATGTCTTCGGCGTTGACGGTCTTGCGGTGCTCCATGTGGCACCGCTCGTTGGCCTCGCCGGTGACGAAGCTGATGAACTCGGACACGCACTCCTGGATCGCCTCCTTGGCGTCGTCGGAGATCTTGGCGTGGGCAGGGAGCGCGCGACGCATGATGCGGATCACATTCGCGATGGGCATCAGCCGGTCCTGCTCCCTCACCACCGGGGTCGCCTGGGTAGGCGCCGGCGCCGCTGCTCCGTTGGGGACGTCGGCGTTCTCCATGGCTAGAGCTAACCAAGGTCCAATGCAGGTAGTCGCACTTGCGTTTAGGGCTTTGCTGATTGAGTTGTAAGTGCTGTGCTTCTGATCGACTTGTTTCAGTGTGTTAAATAGGCTGAGATAGGTATTAGGTGCTGGCTTAGCTGTCCTGTGTGTTTCCGATCAAACAGACAAGTGTCCATTTAGTTGAGAGGTTCTGGCAAAGACATCACCTTTAACAGATAATGTACTCCTGTATGAGACTATTAATCAGAGGAAAACGATAAATCATGTATAAATGTGATTATGACCGTTGGTGGTGAGGGCTGTAAATGTACGTAGTTTTTTTCCTTTCCTTTCTCATGACGTGTAGACAGGTCATTTTGAAACTGAAATGGTATATTAAACACAAGGCAACAAAGCTAAAACATAATGACAACCAAATCAGTGGCGGCACAGGATTTTGAAGATGAATATGCAGAACAAGAAAAATGTATGAAATTACAAGAAAGGAAGAGATCGAATCTGTAATCAAATCTATAAAATTGCAAGCAAAAAATTTATAAGGAAAAAAGGGACTGGATCTAAAATAAATCTATCAAACTAAGAAATTACTATATTTTTTTAATAAAATTATAAGCAAATGAACATTCGGTAGGTGTGTAGTAATGTCAAAAATATATAATAAAAATGAAGAGAGAAGAAAAAGATACAATACAAAGAGAAAAGTACAAGAAAAAAGTTACAAAATTTGCTGAAATAAAATGCTATTAGGGGATACTGAATTAAACCAAGACCTCTTACTTCCATGCATAATAAACAACCAACTAAGCTACCGTAATCCCTCTATTTTGAATTCGTCTTCTTAATTATATTGTTCCTACAAGACATGGTGATATTAACGTATTAGCATTCTTTACCAATACATTTTGATATTGAATCATGATTGGATTGGTCCTGAGTCAAATGGGAACGAGTATCAGCGTCAGACACCATGGAGCCTCAACAAAATATGGGTAAGTGCATGGACAAATGACAAGGCACCCATTCTTTTGTGAAAAAGATCTTCACATACTTTATTGTGGTCTCCAAGATATTAACAACAAATTTACATTGTGAAACTACTTAATGACAAATTTAATGGCTTCTACTTCATCTTCCTGCAAACAAGAAAAGAAGAGAAAAAACTACTTTACCACAATTTGATTATATCGTTTTTAGGACCTCAAGTTTTTTTCAAACCCAATATACTCCCTCTGTAAACTAATATAAGACGTTTTTGCAGTTCAAATTTGAACTGCAAAAACGTCTTATATTAGTGTACAGATGTAGTATTACTTAATGATATTGATACAATCAAAGTCAGCCAAAGCCGTCAGGACAAAATACTAACCACTAACATACCATTAGACATGGCACAAAAACAGAACTTGTTAGTCTGGTGAGCCACTTTGTTAGCCACTCTCTTGACTTGGGTCGGACTGAAATTCAGGAGTAGGCGAGAGATTCCAAGCACCTCTATCTTCAAAGCAATCAAAGTAGATCCGTTGAAAAAGTGATTAGAAAAAACCCTATGCGCGAACATGTAATGATCTTCAGGATAATAGTATGGTCCGAAGTGAGATCGATGTAAAGACTCAACAGGCACGGACGCAACTCAAACTCTTCTATGTTGGAGAAAACAGGGACGGTGTCCCGGCTAAGGGGCCTCTCATGGCATCACTTCCTCGCCTGGTGGGACTGGCCGAGGACCTCTTTGTCGGTTCCTAACCAGATCACTTTTTGCGGCCCATGGCAATATACATGGCGATTCCTCAAGGCTTGACGTGCAAGACAAGAAGCAGAGTCATGGAGAGTTCTACCTCCTTAGACATACCGACCTAGTTGTGTAAACCCTAGGACCCATGGTATGCTATATAAACCAAGGGTTTGGCTTGTCGTAGAACAATATAATACAGATTCGAATCTCTCGGTAATTTGTATACACCCTAATGCAATATACCAAAAACTAGAACGCATGGTATTATCTCCACCGTGAGAGCCTGAACCTAGGCAAAAACCCTTTTCCTTGTTACCATCTCGCCAAGTAGCCTAGCTAGGATAACCTATAGAGGGATCTGCCAGATTTAGCTCCGACAATGCTGGCCCATGCAGATCCTGCTAGGTGAACGTTGCAGTGTGACAGGAGTGCGGATCAACACTCAGATATGTCCCAGCGTGATCTTCGTGCTGGGGAAGATATTTTTGGCGGCATCACCCGTGACACCAACTCAACTAGCCACCTCGGCAAGGTCGAGCTCTTCGCTCTAGCCCGGATCATAAGATTATTCTGCAACATGGAGTACACCGCGGTCTACCATGGGGAGCTGGTTTACTCAGGTTTCACATCTAGGAGCAGTTGACGCCGTATCTCCCGATCTCGATGTCAAATTAGATCTCGGAGCTACCACAAGAAGTCAATTTTTTTGACCCACCTGAGGGAGTCCGGGACTAAGGGGTCCCCGGGCTACCGGTCTATCTCTCATGGGCCCGACATGTGGGTTGTTCTTGCTCCATCATTGGAAGGCCGAGTTGTAAATGACTCTTTGTTCCGGCAGGAAACCTCTGAAGCCTTGGAGTATCCTCCAAGTCAAGATAAGGGAGTCGGCATGTTTATCCCTTGATCATAGTCGACATATGTAACCCTAGGAACTCCTGGTGTCTATATATAAACCAGAGGGTTTAGTCCATAGAGGCTAGAACCATCCTCCTACTCATCTAGGGTTTAGTTCATCCGATCACATGGTAGATCAACTCTGTAACCATCATACATACACATCAATACAATCAAGTAGGACGTAGGGTTTTACCTCTTTGAGAAGGTCCGAACCTGGGTAAATACGGTCTCTATGTTCCATGTTCCCCATCAATCCAAGATCTATAGCTTGGGAACCCCTACCCGAGATCCGCCGTTTTTGACACCGACATTGGTGCTTCTATTGCGAGTTCCGCGATGGGATTGTCGAAGGATCGATGGCTTGCTTAGTCATCAACAATGGCATCTACACAAGGAATGTCTTCGTGCCCGGCAAGCTCTTCGCGTTGGGCGGCATCGTTCTGCACGCCAACTCGACCGGTCACCTTGAATAGATCGATAGTTTCCTCCCCAACAAGAAATTAGGTTTGGCAACCTGGAGTATGTCGCCGACACCTGGGGCGATCTGGTCTTTAATGGGTTCTCAATCTTAGCTTAGCAGCCTGGATATCTCGAAGCTTCAACTTCGGACCTTCTCCCCGTCCCTATCTCCGGGCTGGCCTCTATCTCGGATCTAGCTTTGAGCTCGGATCCGACCTCCGCGTTTGAGCACCATCGATCAGCCATGGCTGAACACACCCCCTGTACTGGCATACCGGAAGGTAACCCCGAAAGACGTCAGGGGATGGATCCGACCGACCTCTCGCTGTTAAACGAGACGTTAGATCAGATCCAGACGATGAGCATCTCGGATGGCCCATGCTTGGTCCATGATCGAATCGAGCTTGACATAGGCCATGGGGAATTTTGCCTCCCACCCACCACCCACTTAGTAGCCACCGTCGAGGATTTAACCGACATGCTAGACTACACTTCCGAGGAGGCCGATGACATGGATGAAGATGTCGACGCCACAGCCTATGCTGCTCCCTCCCCTGCCATTCCCACTACTGGATAGTGGACAACCACCTCCACCTACAATGTCTACATGGTGGACACCTCCGAGGAAAAGGGCGATGGCACCACTGGGAAGAATGGCGATGGCACCCCCAGAAAGGATGGCGATAAGTCTAGTGAGGAGCCACCCAAACACCGACGTCAGTGCAGGAGATCCAGGGGGCAAAAGTGCAGGGGAAGCAACACGTGCACCGGAGAAAATGATACCCTGGACAATATGGAAGACCTTGGCTACCGCGTCACCCCAGAACAACAACATGATGGTTGAGAAGGGCACGAGGACCATTATAACCCTGAGGACCTCAATGACCCCGAGGACAGGAACTACCTCGAGCCTTGGAGACGAGGATTTCGTCATCCCCGAAAACCTGCTGGATTAGGAATGGTTCAAGCGATAACTTATAGACACCTCTCGAAGACTGAAGAAGAAGCAGCCGCAACTAAAGGCCGAGCAGAATACCCTGAACGACAGATGGACAATGGTCTTGGCAACCGAAGAAGGTTTCGGCAATTAGCGCCGGGACCAAACCAAAACTACCCAAAATGGCGTCTGCTGCCACAGTTTGACAACGAGGCCCTCGAGCCCATAACCCCGATATACACTTAGGCCAACCAGCCACACTGCCCCCATGAGGACGGGACAGGATGGATGGAGATGCCAAAAATCCACATGCACTCCCTTACTGGAGAGGCAAGGAGCCAATACAGCCAGAAGATCCGCATGATCTGAGGCACACTACAAAAAAAAGACACATCCGTGACATTATCGGTCGAACAATTTTTTTCTTTCATGCTTATGACACATCTATGACGATAGTTGTGACAAAATCACGTATCATCATAAATGTGGTGGGCTCCTACTTCTATGAGAAAATATCATGATAGAAAATGGGCTTTTTGTCCTAGGCGGGCCGGGGACGCACCTGCATGACATTCTTTGGGCCGTCCATGGCGGAAAAAATCATGGTAGAGCGATGCATGGAGTTTGCGCGTTTATCTCATACACGTACGCACGTGTGTGCGAGGCGTTGGGATCTAACTTAACCTGAGTGAGGCGTTCGCTTACTGAACCCGAGCGACTGCACTAGCTACGTTACTGAATCCGAGCGATCGATCCCTTGGAGGTTAACTAAACTCGAGAGATTCCTCCGCTACTCATGCTAACTGAAGCCGATCGAACCAGCTGCCTCTTGATGAACAGTGACCGTTGTTGGGGGTTGGATGAATAGGACCCTGTGGTAGTAGGCCGTTGCTGTTGGATGAACAGGACCCCGAGGAGGCCGCCACACCTGAGCCGGTTGGGGGTGGATGAACAGGACCCCGTGGAGGGCTG